CCATACCGAAATGCTTAAGAGATGGCAAAAAAGATGGCGAGTGTATACAGGGTGGGCCAGTACATTTGTTAGGGATGTCCGGGTATGGACAGACTCTACGATGAATACCGAGTATTATGCAACGCAAGCCATAACTGGACACGGCACGTTCGATAGCTATCCCAGAAACATCCGGAAGATAGAATCAGATCTCTGCTGGTTTGGGTGCAATGAATCCGATACACCGAGGCATACCGTCTTTGAATGTAGAAAATTTCAAGAATATAGGAGAATTGCGGAGGAAAGACAATATCTCCGTTGTGATAATGAGTGGAAGGGAGAAAGGAGAGATAATTATGAACCTTCTACGATCCATAATGAGGAGCCACGACGAAAGTTTGGAGGTGAGAGCAATGAGGTCGGACACTCAGGTATGAATGAAATAGTTAATATGTTAAAAATTAATGGATTTCTATGTTTTGAGCTGGGATACCATCCAAGCCGAGTCGAATGAAGAAGAGGAGAACAGTAAAAGTATTCAACAACATTGAGGCCAGTAGGATTGTCTCAAACTCCTGATCGTATCAGTTGCAGGCGTCATATCCGATTGGGGCTCAGTCATAAAGATTTTCTCCTCCTCTGTGCCAAAGTTGGGTCTGATTTGGGGGCTAACGTTTAGTTGTGGATCAGATTGGTTCTTTTCGAATTGGGTATGGATAAGATGGGTTCATATAACGTGGGGCCTCGTTTCGATGTGGACGGACACTTTTTGGTTTGGTGTGGTTAGGGCTGAATTTAGTTTGATATGGATGAGTTGGGTTTGGTTAGGTTGGTTTTTACTAGGAGTCATTAATATTGAAAAATCTTCGTTATTGATTTGGACGATCGTGCTTATTTTACATGATTATGGTTGGATCTGTTTTGGGTGTGGGTGAGCTGGACTTGATTACATGGTTTCGGTTTGCTGATGATCAAATGATTTGATTTAGATGTGAATGGATTGGGTTTGAGTGTGGATGACTTAGGTTTTATTTGCATGATTTGGTTTGGGTCTCATTTGGGAGATAAAGTTTATTTGTGGATCAGCTTGGTTCTGTTTTGTTCTGGGTATGGATAAGATGGGTACATTTAAAGTGACTTGGGTTGGGCCTGGATTCGATGTGGATGAATACTTTTTGGTTTGGCATGGTTAAGGTTGAATCGATACCATGTCCATACCTAGTCTTTTTAGTTTTTTATGTTTTTTTTTAATTAGAAATCTTTTGACAATAAACGCAGATTTTAAAAATCTGAATTGCTCAGCGAGCGGTCGAGTTAGAAAAATAAAAATTGGTATAGATTCTTCTTGGATGTCCTCAAATGGAGCGATATTATAGGGTGTTCAAAAATATAACTACTGTTTTACCATATTCAATTACAATTCAACCCCATATTTGATTAGCTTATCAAATAGAGAATTTAATTGTCTACAAATCTTCTGTACATGTCTCTATACCTATCAGCTGCAGTTTTGATATCGCGGAATTAATCAAAACTGTTTATCTCCTTAATGTCATTTATGTACTTTGCCTCTTAGTGAGACATTCTGTTATGTTCATCAATATTGAGAACATCAAACATTGAGAAAATCTACTGTAACTGTATGTAGTGTCATATTCTTATCATTTTTGGAAATAGATACCAATATTACTAGTTTTAAGAATATACATAACTTAAATTAGTGGTTTGCTGGGTTTGATTTGCTTTCGACGTGGATGAGTTGGACTTGACTACACTAGTTTTGGTTTTATCTGGTTTCGATGTGCACAGCTTGCGGTTTGCTGATGATCAAATGATTTGATTTAGATGTGAATGGATTGTGTTTGAGTGTGGATAACTTAGATTTTATTTGCATGATTTGGGTGGGATCTCATTTGGGAGNCATGTACCTTAAAAATACGCTCGATATGATTTTTTGAAAATTTCGGGTTTTCTTTACATTTATAAATTTTACAATTTCTTTAATAATTTTTCCTGGAAGTTTCAATAATATTATCTTTTGATTTTTATATCATAGCATAAAGTAAAATCCTTAAGCTTCAATTTAACATACATATCATATCATGATTCTTAAAAATTCACTCGATATGATTTTTTGAAAATTTCGGGTTATTTTTAGATTTATAAATTTTACAATTTCTTATTTTTTCCTGAAAATGTCAATAATATTATCTTATAGTTTTTATATCATTTCATAAAATAGAGTCTTTAAGCTTTAATTTAACATATATATCATATCAAAATTCTCAAAAATACAGTCGATACGATTTTTTAAAAATTCCGCGTTATTTTTGATTTACAAATTTGACAATTTCTTCTTTAATCATTTTTTCCTGGATATTTCAATAATATTGCCTTATAGTTTTTATATCATATCATAAACTAGAATCTTTAAGCTTTAATTTAACATACATATCATATCGAAATTCTTAAAAATACGATTGATATGTTTTTTGAAAATTTCGCTTTATTTTTGATTAATAAGTTTAACAATTTCTTCCTTAATCATGTTTTTCTGGAAATTTCAATAATATGATATTATAGTTTTTATATCATATCATAAACTAGAATCTTTAAGCTTCAATTTAACATACATATCATATCGAAATTCTTAAAAATACGGTTGATATGTTTTTTGAAAATTTCGCTTTATTTTTGATTAATAAGTTTAACAATTTCTTCCTTAATCATGTTTTTCTGGAAATTTCAATAATATGATATTATAGTTTTTATATCATATCATAAACTAGAATCTTTAAGCTTCAATTTAACATACATATCATATCGAAATTCTTAAAAATACGGTTGATATGTTTTTTTGAACATTGTGCCATATTTTTGATTAACAAGTTTGACAATTTCTTCTTTAATCATGTTTTTCTGGAAATTTCAATAATATGATATTATAGTTTCTATATCATATCATAAACTAGAATCTTTAAGCTTCAATTTAACATACATATCATATCGAAATTCTTAAAAATACGGTTGATATGTTTTTTTGAACATTGTGCTATATTTTTGATTAATAAGTTTGACAATTTCTTCTTTAATCATGTTTTTCTGGAAATTTCAATAATATGATATTATAGTTTTTATATCATATCATAAACTAAAATCTTTAAGCTTCAATTTAACATACATATCATATCGAAATTCTTAAAAATACGGTTGATATGATTTTTGAAAATTTTGCTATATTTTTGATTAATAAGTTTGACAATTTCTTCTTTAATCATGTTTTTCTGGAAATTTCAATAATATGATATTATAGTTTCAATATCATATCATAAACTAGAATTTTTAAGCTTTAATTTAACATACATATCATATCAAAATTCTCAAAAATATAGTCGATACGATTTTTTTAAAAATTCCGCGTTATTTTTGATTTACAAATTTGACAATTTCTTCTTTAATCATTTTTTCCTGGATATTTCAATAATATTGCGTTATAGTTTTTACATCATATCATTAACTAGAATCTTTAAGTTTTAATTTAACATACATATCATATCGAAATTCTTAAAAATACGGTTGATATGTTTTTTGAAAATTTCGCTTTATTTTTGATTAACAAGTTTAACAATTTCTTCTTTAATCATGTTTTTCTGGAAATTTCAATAATATGATATTATAGTTTTTTTATCATATCATTAACTAGAATCTTTAAGCTTTAATTTAACATACATATATCGAAATTCTTAAAAATACGATTGATATGTTTTTTGAAAATTTCGCTTTATTTTTGATTAATAAGTTTAACAATTTCTTCTTTAATCATGTTTTTCTGGAAATTTCAATAATATGATATTATAGTTTTTTTATCATATCATAAACNTTTTTGGTTTGGCATGGTTAAGGTTGAATCGATACCATGTCCATACCTGGTGTTTTTTATGTTTTTTTAATTAGAAATCTTTTGGCAATATCTTCTGTACATGTCCTTATACCTGGTTATACCTATCAGCTGCAGTTTTGATATCGCGGAATTAATCAAAATCATACAAAGAATGATAGATTTTATTTATTGTTTTACTTTTGTCTAAAGAAGAACTGTTTATCACCTTAAGACTGTATGTCGTGTTATATTCTTATCATTTCTGGAAATAGATACCAATATTACTAGTTTTAAGAATATACATAACTTAAATTAATGGTTTGTGTAATGAAATAAAACTATATATCATTAAATGGCATGGTTTTTAGTCGTTGGGCGTGGAATACATAGTTCTTGGTGTTTCTTCACTATAATCTACTGTTGATACTGCTTGCAGAAGACTACTTACGCTTATAAAGGAGTAGATACTGCCGAGGATAGACTAGATACTGCTGGCAGAAGACTATACTAGCAATGGAAGACTTGATACTGTTTACAGAAGACTACTTACCGCTTGAAGGGGTAGATACTGATGAGAAAAGACTAGATAATGTTGACATAAGTCTAGAATAGTCTAGATACTGGTAATGGAAGACTTAATACTGCTGGCAGAAGACTACTTACTGCTTGATGGAATAGGTACTGCTAAAAAAAGACTAGATACTGTTGGCAGAAAACTAGATACTAGTAATTCGCATGTATAATTTGCGGTCCATATATGTATATGGAGATGCATGTATATATATGATGTGTCAAAATAAAAAGTTAGTTTTGTTTGTGTAACATTTTTTGGATAATTAGAAGATGATTAGTTGGTTGGTGATATTTGAATCGTTCTTAAATGGATCATGATATACGTTATATTATCCTCCGATTGTACCCTACTAACAAATGACGTCAATTTGCATGTAGAGTAACCCGCAGCGATGTACAAGATATGCATTCATCGATTTCCACTGTCATGGATGACATTAATACCGGATTCTCTCGTGGCAATTAACTATGGAAATGTGAGCCGGACGATGGTGTGTTCTTGAAAACAAATTGACAGAATGTTAATGAAAGTTTTGAAAAGGATTGGGTGGATTAATAAATTTGAAAGTTGTCTATAGAACATTTTATTATTTACACATTGGTTTACATTGTATGTTACGCGATAAATAATATAACATCTGGAGTATCTACACCGACATTATGTTAAAACTATAGTACAGTTCAAACGGAAGTTATACTTAAGTTAAGCTCATGGTTAAATACTTGATATTTAGTCGTACCTTAAGTTCCGTTCGCAACAAGAGGAAATTTAAAATACGATTATTTATTAAGAAATGCTACTAAAGTTTTCCCTAATACCCTGTTAGTGTTAAGGTAGCGAGACTTTTGTTTTCCTAAAGTACAAGCTGACTGCTAGGATAGAAATTTCCTTTTATTGCAAACTGTATTTACAGAGATTTTTTTCCATTCATTTATATATGGACGCTACAAAAGCTACATTGAGTTGATATATTTTTTTTTCGTTATAATTTCGCTAGACCCCCGTTTTAAAAATATTAGCTCCCAGCCATTCGGTATATTTTTGCGATATTCAACGCAAAAAACATCAGTAATAAACTAGACAATTTCGGTTAGCTTGCTCAATTTATTTGAATGCGTGGGTTACGTATCAGGTATTTCAAATGCAATTAAAATGAGAAATTGTATCTTCGTAAATATTTAACAATTATTTAGAAACATTATTATAGACGATATGTAAAATTTTAACGACTCATTAATTTTTCCGGCTGCAAAATATTAAAATTACGGTTTCTATTTGGCACTCATTGCTCTAAAGCTCTTGTTGGTAAGCTTACAACGTTGGCTTGTTTGCTATTCATAAATTGAGCAAACTCTTCACGGTTTACATTAGTTTCTTTTTATTATTTAGGATACATGCATTTAGCTATGCTATTAGTACAATAGACCTAACCGTTCAGTCTTCGTTTAAATACATATAAACAATTGTACATTTATGCCTCTTTTAAAGCGCTCTCTCTCGTGTTCTCTTTTATAATTTTATTCTTAATATATACTTATTAGTTTACTACAGAATAACATATCCATTTTCCAAAACTGTTCACCGTAACTGAAGAACCAAGGAGGGCAGGAAACACAACGGCGAGATAACGTAGAAAACCCCTGCAAATAATAAATAAAAACAAAATATAATAGTTATAACAATATAATTAATTAAAGTTTGACTGACAGCTAGCTGTAATCAACTAAAAGTACTTCCATTTGGGGCGCCTTTAGCAAAAATATCAGATAAGATTGTATCCCAATGGAAAGGGCACGTCAAAGACGGCAAAAGGGAAAAGAGCGCGTTGGAAAATAACTAAGGGTGGAACATCAAACGTGTCGGACATTCATATACACTCAATGGCGGTAATAGGAAATTGAGAAAATTCTATTTCCGACAAGTTCGGCCTCGGAGGGCCTTAGTATAATGTAGATGGGGTTTTAACTTATTTAGACGAGTTGCCCACGTCGGGATTGCAAAAAAACACGAATTGTCGTACAAATTGAAATAAGAAGTGTTCGTAATTTGCAAGAACGATAGCACGGGACGCTCTCCTGTTAGAAGTGCGCTGAATTTTAAAGTGGATGACCTCCCGAAAGAGAATATTATATGTGTGCCAACAAGGGATGCAGACAATATCCTTTACACTGTACCGTTACATCTCATCGTATACCTGCACAGACATTTTATTCGAAGAATTTAAATTACGATAAACATTTTCATTCAAAGAAACTTTAAATTTCAATTCAATTTACGATAGTTTACTACAGCATACCGTTAATTTAAAATCGATATATTTGCATTATTCATCACGTATTTATTTATTTAGCGATACCGCGAACCCGTCGCCCCGGTATTATATATGATTAATTGTGCGGCAGCCTTTAATGGCTAAACTAGAGACTTTTTGACTTTATTGTCCATAAACGGTTCGAAATGTACCGCTTGCTATCGATCGTACTATCACGCGCCCCATTCATATGCAACAAGCGTCAATGCGTATGATATCGGTACATTGTTCCCTGTTTATAAACAATACCCTCTCATGACATCACATTATCGACGTATACCGCTTGCATAATTCGGTTTACACTCTTTGTTTTTACTTGTAACTATCATCATACTTCACCACGCAAATATCTCCCATGCTAATATTTTATTTTATACACGAACATTAAAAAAAATTTTTTTTAATTAATTTCATTATTTCTAAACAAAATCAGAAAAGAAAGGGGTGAATGAATTAATTAATTTCGCCTGATTAAGCTTTTCAATTAACATAATAAATATTTTGAAAAAACATATTGCGTCTAATGGGATATTAATTACAGTCAGTATACAAACATACAGTCGATATGATTTTTTGAAAATTTCTTCTTTAATAATTTTTTTCTGGAAATTTCAATAATATTATCTTCTAGTTTTTATATCATATTATAAACTAGAATCTTTAAGCTTCAATTTAACATATATATCATATCATGATTCTTAAAAATACACTCGATGTGATTTTTTGAAAATTTCGGGTTATTTTTAGATTTATAAATTTCACAATTTCTGCTTTAATGATTTTTACCTGGAAATTTCAATACAATTACGATATAGTTTTTATATCATTTCATAAACTACAAACTTTAAGTTTCCATTTAACATACACATCATATCATGATTCTTAAAAATACACTCGATACGATTTTTAAATTGTTATATATTCGTCTTTAATAATATTTTCCTGGAAATTTCAATAATATTACCTTATAGTTTTTGTATCATTTCATAAACTAGAATGTTTAATCTTCAATTTGACATATATATCATATCATGATTCTTAAAAATACGCTCGATATGATTTCTTGAAAATTTCGGGTTTTTTTATACATTTATAAATTTTACAATTTCATCTTTGATCATTCTTTCCTGGAAATTTCAATAATATTATCTCATAGTTTTTATATCATTGTATAAACTAGAAACTTTAACCTTCAATTTAACATACAAATCATATTATGATTCTTAGAAATACGCTCGATATGATTTCTTGAAAATTTCGGGTTTTTTCACATTTATAAATTTTACAATTTCATTTTTAATCATTTTTTCCTAGAAATTTCAATAATATTATCTCATATTTTGTATATCATTTCATAAACTAGAATCTTTAAGCTTTCATTTAACATACACATCATATTATGATTCTTAAAAATACACTCGATATGATTTTTTGAAAATTTCCGGTTATTTTTAGATTTATAAATTTTACAATTTCTTCTTTAATAATTTTTTCATGAATATTTCAATAATATTACCTTATAGTTTTTATATCATATCATAAACTAGATTGTTTAAGCTTCAATTTAACATACATGAGGTCATGATAATATCATGATACTTAAAAATACAGTTGATATGATTTTTTGAAAATCTCGCATTATTTCTGATTTATAAATGTTACATACTCTTCTTTAATATTTTTTTTCTGGAAATTTCAATAATATTACCTTATACTTTTTATATCATATAATAAACTAGAATGTTTAAGCTTCAATTTAACATACATATCATATCATGTACCTTAAAAATACGCTCGATATGATTTTTTGAAAATTTCGGGTTTTCTTTACATTTATAAATTTTACAATTTCTTCGTTAATAATTTTTTCCTGAAAATGTCAATAATATTATCTTATAGTTTTTATATCATATCATAAATAACTAGAATCTTTAAGCGTCAATTTAACATACATATCATATCATGATTCTTAAAAATACACTCGATATGATTTTTTGAAAATTGCTGATGTAAGGGTACAAAAATTTTACGTCATCGTAAAGAGAAAAGTAATCTCTATCAAATGAGCCTAACAAAAGGGTACATTGCCAAAAAATTGTTTTAAAAAAATTCAAGTGTTATTCGTTACTCATTTGTTTTCTGAATTAAAAACAATTGAATGCAGTCTTGTTAAGGCAAATAAAATATTAAACAACTTTTGTATAAAATGTTTTTTTATAAAGTTGATACCTACCAAGATATATACGATATTCCATACATAATGGGCACCCTGTATATCATATCATGATTCTTAAAAATACGCTCGATATGATTTCTTGAAAATTTCGGGTTTTTTTTACATTTATAAATTTTACAATTTCATCTTTAATCATTTTTTCCTGAAAATTTCAATAATATTATCTCATAGTTTTTATATCATTTCATAAAATAGAATTTTTAAGCTTCAATTTAACATACACATCATATCATGATTCTTAGAAATACAAGCAATATGATTTTTTGAAAATTTTGGGTTACTTTTAGATTTATAAATTTTACAATTTCTTCTTTAATAATTTTTTCCTGGAAATTTCAATAATACCACCTTCTACTTTTTATATCATTTCATAAACTAGAATCTTTAATCTTCAATTTGACATATATATCATATCATGATTCTTAAAAATACGCTCGATATGATTTCTTGAAAATTTCGTTTTTTTTTATACATTTATAAATTTTACAATTTCATCTTTAATCATTTTTTCCTGGAAATTTCAATAATATTATCTGATAGTTTTTATATTATTTCATAAACTAGAATGTTTAAGCTTCAATTTAACATACACATCATATCATGATTCTTAGAAAAACGCTCGATATGATTTTTTGAAAATTTTGGGTTATTTTTAGATTTATAAATTTTACAATTTCTTCTTTAATAATTTTTTCCTGGAAATTTCAATAATATTACCTTATACTTTTTATATCATATCATAAACTAGAATCTTTAAGCTTCAATTTAACATACATATCATATCATGTACCTTAAAAATACGCTCGATATGATTTTTTGAAAATTTCGGGTTTTCTTTACATTTATAAATTTTACAATTTCTTTAATAATTTTTCCTGAAAGTTTCAATAATATTATCTTTTGATTTTTATATCATAGCATAAAGTAAAATCCTTAAGCTTCAATTTAACATACATATCATATCATGATTCTTAAAAATTCACTCGATATGATTTTTTGAAAATTTCGGGTTATTTTTAGATTTATAAATTTTACAATTTCTTATTTTTTCCTGAAAATGTCAATAATATTATCTTATAGTTTTTATATCATTTCATAAAATAGAGTCTTTAAGCTTTAATTTAACATATATATCATATCAAAATTCTCAAAAATACAGTCGATACGATTTTTTAAAAATTCCGCGTTATTTTTGATTTACAAATTTGACAATTTCTTCTTTAATCATTTTTTCCTGGATATTTCAATAATATTGCCTTATAGTTTTTATATCATATCATAAACTAGAATCTTTAAGCTTTAATTTAACATACATATCATATCGAAATTCTTAAAAATACGATTGATATGTTTTTTGAAAATTTCGCTTTATTTTTGATTAATAAGTTTAACAATTTCTTCCTTAATCATGTTTTTCTGGAAATTTCAATAATATGATATTATAGTTTTTATATCATATCATAAACTAGAATCTTTAAGCTTCAATTTAACATACATATCATATCGAAATTCTTAAAAATACGGTTGATATGTTTTTTTGAACATTGTGCTATATTTTTGATTAATAAGTTTGACAATTTCTTCTTTAATCATGTTTTTCTGGAAATTTCAATAATATGATATTATAGTTTTTATATCATATCATAAACTAGAATCTTTAAGCTTCAATTTAACATACATATCATATCATGATTCTTAAAAATACAGTCGATATGATTTTTTGAAAATTTCGCGTTATTTTTGATTTATAAATTTGACAATTTCTTCTTTAATAATTTTTTCCTGGAAATTTCAATAATATTACCTTATAGTTTTTATATCATATCATAAACTAGAATCTTTAAGCTTCAATTTAACATACATATCATATCATGATTCTTAAAAATACAGTCGATATGATTTTTTGAAAATTTCGTATTATTTTTGATTTATAAATTTGACAATTTCTTCTTTAATAATTTTTTCCTGGAAATTTCAATAATATTATCTTATAGTTTTTATATCATATCATAAACTAGAATCTTTAAGCTTCAATTTAACATACATATCATATCATGATTCTTAAAAATACAGTCGATATGATTTTTTGAAAATTTCGTATTATTTTTGATTTATAAATTTGACAATTTCTTCTTTAATAATTTTTTCCTGGAAATTTCAATAATATTATCTTATAGTTTTTATATCATATCATAAACTAGAATCTTTAAGCTTCAATTTAACATACATATCATATCATGATTCTTAAAAATACAGTCGATATGATTTTTTGAAAATTTCGTATTATTTTTGATTTATAAATTTGACAATTTCTTCTTTAATAATTTTTTCCTGGAAATTTCAATAATATTATCTTATAGTTTTTATATCATATCATAAACTAGAATCTTTAAGCTTCAATTTAACATACATATCATATCATGATTCTTAAAAATACAGTCGATATGATTTTTTGAAAATTTCGTATTATTTTTGATTTATAAATTTGACAATTTCTTCTTTAATAATTTTTTCCTGGAAATTTCAATAATATTATCTTATAGTTTTTATATCATATCATAAACTAGAATCTTTAAGCTTCAATTTAACATACATATCATATCATGATTCTTAAAAATACAGTCGATATGATTTTTTGAAAATTTCGTATTATTTTTGATTTATAAATTTGACAATTTCTTCTTTAATAATTTTTTCCTGGAAATTTCAATAATATTATCTTATAGTTTTTATATCATATCATAAACTAGAATCTTTAAGCTTCAATTTAACATACATATCATATCATGATTCTTAAAAATACAGTCGATATGATTTTTTGAAAATTTCGTATTATTTTTGATTTATAAATTTGACAATTTCTTCTTTAATAATTTTTTCCTGGAAATTTCAATAATATTATCTTATAGTTTTTATATCATATCATAAACTAGAATCTTTAAGCTTCAATTTAACATACATATCATATCATGATTCTTAAAAATACAGTCGATATGATTTTTTGAAAATTTCGTATTATTTTTGATTTATAAATTTGACAATTTCTTCTTTAATAATTTTTTCCTGGAAATTTCAATAATATTATCTTATAGTTTTTATATCATATCATAAACTAGAATCTTTAAGCTTCAATTTAACATACATATCATATCATGATTCTTAAAAATACAGTCGATATGATTTTTTGAAAATTTCGTATTATTTTTGATTTATAAATTTGACAATTTCTTCTTTAATAATTTTTTCCTGGAAATTTCAATAATATTATCTTATAGTTTTTATATCATATCATAAACTAGAATCTTTAAGCTTCAATTTAACATACATATCATATCATGATTCTTAAAAATACAGTCGATATGATTTTTTGAAAATTTCGTATTATTTTTGATTTATAAATTTGACAATTTCTTCTTTAATAATTTTTTCCTGGAAATTTCAATAATATTATCTTATAGTTTTTATATCATATCATAAACTAGAATCTTTAAGCTTCAATTTAACATACATATCATATCATGATTCTTAAAAATACAGTCGATATGATTTTTTGAAAATTTCGTATTATTTTTGATTTATAAATTTGACAATTTCTTCTTTAATAATTTTTTCCTGGAAATTTCAATAATATTATCTTATAGTTTTTATATCATATCATAAACTAGAATCTTTAAGCTTCAATTTAACATACATATCATATCATGATTCTTAAAAATACAGTCGATATGATTTTTTGAAAATTTCGTATTATTTTTGATTTATAAATTTGACAATTTCTTCTTTAATAATTTTTTCCTGGAAATTTCAATAATATTATCTTATAGTTTTTATATCATATCATAAACTAGAATCTTTAAGCTTCAATTTAACATACATATCATATCATGATTCTTAAAAATACAGTCGATATGATTTTTTGAAAATTTCGTATTATTTTTGATTTATAAATTTGACAATTTCTTCTTTAATAATTTTTTCCTGGAAATTTCAATAATATTACCTAATAGTTTTTATATCATATCATAAACTAGAATCTTTAAGCTTCAATTTAACATACATATCATATCGAAATTCTTAAAAATACGGTTGATATGATTTTTGAAAATTTCGCTTTATTTTTGATTAATAAGTTTAACAATTTCTTCTTTAATCATGTTTTTCTGGAAATTTCAATAATATGATATTATAGTTTTTATATCATATCATTAACTAGAATCTTTAAGCTTTAATTTAACGTACATATCATATTAAGATTCTTAAAAATACAGTCGATATGATTTTTTGAAAATTTCACTTTTTGATACTGTATATAGTGTTTGCGAAAATATCGATCTCTAAATGTGACTTTTAGCACCGATAATTAACAATTTCTTATTTTCCATAAATTTTTAACCCCATCTCTGCATATTTCATCAGAACCAATTGAGATATAATGATGAAATAAAAATCTTATCGAGATTTTATGATTAGAAATTTACATAATCGTACTTAAGGACGAATTGAGATATAACGGATGAAATGATTGGACGAAGATATGGGAGATACGATAAAATGAATGGTTGAATTAAAAACGAATTAGTGTTCGATTGACGTGTTAAGTAAATGGGTTTGTTCGAATTTCCATTGGAATAAACCCAGCGACTATCTTGATTGACGTTTGAACGTCAGGGGACGAGTTTCGTCCGTCATATCATGTCGCATAGGCGACCCGAAGCTACGATGTGGTTTCAGATTCTCTTATGCATGTTGTACGTCGCCGGTATAAGATAACTCGGTCCCTGAGGGCCGCCTTTATGAAAAAGGGACACACCGCACCGACTGGGGCCCGGCTGAGGTCAATCTTCTAAATTGAGGGGTTTTTATTTCAAATTATTTACATATTAAGTGGATCCGCGAAAGTTTTATTTGCTGCGCAATAAAACTTTATCGAATTGAAACGCTGATATTTTATTATAACGGGGATTTATGCGATGGTCGCCCTGATAACTTTTCTTTGTGTTTTATGTCACAGTAAAGGTTTTATACACTCCCGAGCTGCTTGTTCTCGTCCCGGTATAATGGATTTAAGTTGGGGGCAATTTTATTCGTGTTTGTATCGGATTGCAACATTTCGTTCTTAAAATTGGAAATTGGAAAATTAACAACGCACTCTATTCAGTGATATTTAAAGTTTATTACACACCGTGAATTATTAAGCGATGAAATAATTATTGTAGAGTGTTTTAATAGGTCAATTTAATGATATGAACAAGCGATGAGCGCTTTCAATATTAATAGGTTGTTAATAAATTTTGATAAAATCCAATTTCCGCATTACAAAGCATAAAACTTTTCACTTACCAGCTGACGTGTCATCTGATGACGGCCAATCGAAGCTAGCACCTTTTCCGTCGGAGCTGGAAGCGGATTTTTGCTCGAACTTATCAATTTCGTTCAGATTTGACTGGTATTTGGAGCCTAAAAAGGAAAATACATGTACCTACAAGCTAAAAAATCTAATTATTGTCCACCTGAGCTCGAGCAAGATTTAAAAAAATTCAGAGCAATTAATATAAAGTGGTGTACAAAATGACTTTTCATTAAAACGTCAGAAACTTCCGAGTCCTCTTTATTAGCGACATCCTGTTTCCAAAAAAGGACAGCCCGCCCTGAATGCACAACTCCAAGTCCGGGGATTGTTAAGAAATTTTAAAACGGCGAAATAAAAACTCTCCGGTGAAGTTCTAGCCTTTTGAGTTCCCCGTAATTCGTATGGAGTGAATGCAAACCCAATTTTACAGCGGAATCTGTTTCGAGTGGCCGTGTTATAAGTGCTTCCGGTCTGGGCAGAAGTGAACTGACGCTTTAAATGAACTCGTTAATAATAAATTATAAAATACACGAATCATCTCGTAAGATGTCTTCGTTAGAAATAATTTTGAAAAACAAAAAAAATTTTGAGATAAAATAAAATTTTTATAAGGCCACCAAAAGAGGTTATTTAATCTGGAAGCATCCACCTTAAACTCTGCACCCTGACAAGACAGCTAATTCAATAACTTGATTCGACATCCGACATCCACAATTCTTTTCCACGCTTTGCTGAACTCTTTCATAGTAATTGTAGAGCAAATATGCCCTTTTTGCTGCTGCAAGGAAGCCCCAACGTCGGCCAGTTTAATTCTATTGATTATTTATACATAAATTTCACCCTCGGAATCTAGTAGCTCCAGTGTTGACCCATTCAATACCCCGCACGTTCTCTATCGAATAATAATAAATAATGGTTCGCGGTGCCATAATATAATTCAATGGGTGTCACTGCTTCCTATAAGTTCGAGTAAATACGTCTAACGTTTTATATTCATGACCCTCGGATGCGAGAGAAACAGAATTAACCCACGTTCCACGTTTCGCAGTCAAACAAACGCGACGTCTACGGCAATTTTGCGACGTCACCGTTTCACCGTTGAGCCGTCCCTCGGCAAAGCTGTGTGGCATGCTTCTTGCGGTGTGAAAGATGGAAATTAAACGAAAAAGGAATAAAGGCGAACGTATCCGGTACCTTTCTCCGAGAGGTGTGTGGTAAGCGATGAAGGGTTCCCGTAGACTGAATTATTGAAGTCCCCGTTTCCCCAAATGTCCTTCATTCGGCTCGGAGTCTCTGTCGTTGTCGACTTTGGCATTGTCGTCGGAGGCGAAGAAGCTACGACAAAAACATGCATCAATTCAGCCGCGGCCGAAATCGGGGCACGTCCGCGCGATTGTGCGACAAAGTGAGCAATTTGGTGCTTTCGGCAAAAATTAAATTGGAGTTACCCTTCCGTTTTCCACATTTACAACCACCCCTTTTATCCCCACACGCTGGACGTCGCACATAAATTACTTCTCTAAGACATCCAAACGTTATACAGATACCCACCAAACAAAAGCACCAAGTATTATACGAACTACTTATCGTACTACTTACCATTTAACACAACAACTTCTTACCTTCATTATATTTAGACAGCATCCTAAACTTTATTAGACTAAGCGATTTCAAGATTATGTGCTAATTTTGTACTACATTAAACATTTTTGTACTAATTTATTACATTAAACTTGTGACCACCATTCAATCGCGTACTTCGTTATGCCAGTGAGGCGCTGCACCATTTTGCTGCCAAATGAAGTTATTTGCTTAGTCTTCTACCAATTCGGGAAATAGCCATAGTTGTAGAGCATCAAGATAGGAAATACCAGTTACAGTTGCTTCTCCAAAAAAAGAGGTTCATACATGTTCCGCCGAGAGATGACACAAAAAACATTCAATTTAGGGGAGTCTCGTTGCAATTCGACAATCTCGTGACAATTTTCTGAGCCCATTCATCACTGAAAACAATTTGATCCAGAAAATCATTTCATGTCCAAAGTTGGCACATTACAGGCTTTCTTAATTAAATTTATTTATTTATGGCTCTGCGGGATCCTAGCCCATCAGCCTCTATATCATGGTTATGTAATATTCACCAATACATCAGATCGCAATACTAGACCTCACCAGAAATTCATATATAATGTAAAGGACATTGAACAGGTTACAACTTAATACATGAACGATGTTAATAGGCAAAACAAAACCGCAGGCAAATCTTGGGCGGTATTTCTCATGAAATTTGCAACTCAACAATATGTGATTTAGATCGGCAAATTCTGCTCCACATTCACAGGCCGGAGATGACAAAATCTTAATCTTATACAAGTGAGATGGAAAACAACAAATTCATTAACCTTAACCGAAACAAGACAGTAGGATGTATAACGGCATATAGTGTTATTCTTTTATTATAGTATGCCCTCCAGTGTGAAATCCACCTCTCTCTCTCTTCTTTATTTCTGTAGAGGGAAAGTACTTCTCCAGGGTGGAGTCCCACATCAATGCGCTTACCATCCTGTATCGCCTCCTTAGCTATCACGTCAACTCATATAAATGTGCATGAAATTCCTTGTTCCGACAATGCCACAAGAGTGAATACAACGTCCAATACGCAAGGGTAGAGAGTAGTATAATGTTTTTTGTGTTTTAAAGCCATCAACACACTTTGAGAGACAATATTCACAATATTGACACGACAGAGCAAAGGACTGACAAAACATACCGCAGGGCCTCAAGAATTGCATATGCTTCCGCAGAGAAAATGCTACTATGAGGGTCTAACTTTAATTTTATGTGATACCCACTGCTGGGTACTAAGAAGGCACAACTGCAACCGTCAGATGTCTTAGACGCATCTGTGTTAATAATAAAGCTATCTTTAATCTCATTCATTAACTGATTGAATATTCCTTTATTATGTAATGTGTTATCACTAAAATGAGGGAATATAACATGTATCGGTTAAATATAATCAAAATATCGAATGGCAGGGAATATAGATTGACGCAGCACCCTGTGCAATTTTGGGAAGAGCTGTCTGTAAGCAACAACAAGGGAAGGTAAAGATTTCCTTCTCCAAAAACGAGTCTATGGACATTACAGGCTTTAGAGCCTGTAATAATTGAAAACGGTACGGACGTAGTTGTAAACGTTTCCAAACCGTCGTCACCGGAATTGACCCTCTCACTCGCTCAACACTTTCTTCACTAACCCTTGGTCGTTCTGTACTCTTCTCTTTACAAAGGAAGCCGGTATTTTCAAACTGACTGTTATCTTTTGGGGATCATATCTGAACTTGATCCGGAACGCACGTTGCATAGTAACTACAGATTCGGACTTTGCAAACTGCAGAACACAAAAAGCTATTAGTTGCCATTTTTGCTACTACGGCTTTCTAGCGCATGCGCATACCTACAAAACACAACAGTTTGAGTTGCTCTTTCATTTCATGTATTAATTATGATTTTAAGTGTTAAAACCCTGATAATTATTTAGAAACATCCTGTATAACTAGGGTAGAGAAACCTGTTATGGCCACATTTAGTACTCTTTAACTGATAAAATTTGGTATCTTAGTAAAAAATCAAAATAATATTTCTTAGCTCTTGTTGCATATAGGCACCTTCCATTTTATTTGTGTATCAAGTATTTTAAAACATAAAAAATAATTTTCAAAAGTTATGTTTATTAATTACGTAGAACAATAAGGTAGCACAAAATTAGCACATAAATAGTATATAATTATGGCAGTATCAAAATGCTGATATCTTGAAAGGGGGGTGTAGCTGTATGGACTTGCGATTTTGATGTATTTTTTTATTAAGATGTATTATATATACTATACGAGTATTATGGAGGTACAAAATTGGATATGACTAGTTTAAACAATATTCAAAACAGTATGAGTAATTCGGTTTTCGTTAGAAATACGGCAGAGCAGACTTTATTTTCTTCAATTGCTATTTGGATAGTATTCGTTATTCTATGCACTTGGTCTATTGTTGCATGTTTATTCCGAAACCCAAATTGATGTGTTGGTATTAGGGCTTTTTCTTCTATGGCAGGTGTTAGTCTTTTTATTAGTAATTTTTCAAGCAGTTTTGATAGTAAGGGTAATATGAAATTGGCTTATATGATGTAACATCTCTGGGGGGTTTACCAGGTTTTGGTATCATTATTATTTCAGCAACTTTCCATATGCTTGGGAAGTATATTTCTTTATATTTAGTTTTTGTATTTCATAATACAGTTCGTTCATTCTTACACATGGTATATTACTCTGCTGATCACTTTGAATTATGCTAGGGACACTATTTAACATAATTGTTGGACTGTCTGATCTAAAAGTTTCTTGCAGATGTTCAACAAATTAACTTTTTCTAGATTGCTAATTTTGAATATTATTATCTTTGTGGCTATCTGTTAATGCTCTTAATTCGGCTGCTATTTTATTTAATTTAGTTTTATCACTATGAATTCTATTGGTTTGCCATTTCTTTCTCGCTTTCCGTTTTTCTGCCATTTTCATATTAGATTTAGGTTTTGGTGTTAAAATTTTTTCTTTTGTATTTGTCAAGCGAGAACCCCAAGACATATGTTTTGCATTTGGCACAGGCATTCCATTTTCTATAGCCTTCAACGCCTGGAATTTTAATGGAGAGTACTGGAACCGTTTCTGTTTATTTTTTTCAATCATGGTAACAGAGTTTCGTAAATAAAAGCATCAAATCTAACAGAATGGCATAACGCTAATTCACTTATGGCCACGTTATGGCCATAACTGGCAAACTTCACAAAATTGGCTCTACTTATGGCCACGTCATTAAATACTTCGAAACTAACGTCTTTGTGATCATAATGTAGCACAAAATTAGCACATAAATAGTACATAACTATGGCAGTATCAAAATGCTAACATCTTGAAATTTTTTTATTAAGATATATTATACAGGATGGCCGCTGAGGTATCCGAGAAACTTTGTATATGAATTCTATAATTAATTTTAAGCACAAATGATTCTATTCACTTTTCTCGAATTCCAAACGGTTGTTGAGATATCGAGGTTTGCTAAACAATACAACACATTGCTAGGTTGGCTATGGAAAAATTCCGTTTTATTTTAATAAAAGCTTAATGACACTGCAATTATTAAAGCTGCTCAATGTGACCACCGCCTTGTTCAATGCATAATTCAATCCTTTATCGGAGCTCTCGTTTCCAGTTGTAGTTCTCCATATTGTTTTTTACCTCTTGAAATGCTGCATGAATATTTTGTCTCTATTATTAGGTTTTCCTGTTGAATACGTAAGTGTCTTCACATGTCCCCACATGAAAAAAATCTAGTGGGGTGAGATCGCGGTGGTCAAGCAATGGGACCACCACAACCTATCCATCGATTTGGATACTGTTCATTGAGGAAATTCGTGACAATTCTTGCATAATGGGCGGGAGCACCATCATATAAAAAGAACGTTGTTCTTCTAATTTGAATAGGAATGTCCTCAAGTAATAGAGGTAGATCGAAAAAATGCGGTCCAATAACAACATTATTAATTATTCCAGCCCAAACGTTTTCGGAGAATCTACTCTGGAAATGGGTTTCTCGAACAGCATGAGTGTTTTCGAATCTCCACACATGTTCGTTTATTCCATCTCTAGTAAATGTAGCTTCATCACAAAAAAGAGTTCTTGAAAGATGATTTATCCACCATTCACAAAGGCGAACTCTTTGGGGAAGATCCTCGGGAAGAAGTTGTTGTACTGGTCGGTAATGATAGGGATGCAGTCCGTTTTTCCGCAAAGTGTCATGCACAGCTTGTCCAGTAAGTACAGCCTCAAGCACTTCTGCAGCATTGTTTCTTCGCCTAATTTCTCTTTTACAAGTCGATTTAGAGAACGCACCTCTTAATCGAAGGTTTGCTTGTCTGGAAAACGACGGTTTGGGTATCGTCGTTGATATTCCCTAACTGAGGCGGTGGTACTACCGTTGCAATGACATTCATGTGGATAAGTTGCAGGCATGATTTTAGCACAATTGATAACAATGACCTAAATGTCAACACTTTTATTCTAATATCAATTAAATGGTTAATTATTCAATTACCTAGCAACATGTTATTTACTGTTTAGTATCTATCCATACGATCTGGTAACTTCAAATCTCGATATCTCAACAACCGTTTGGAATTCGAGAAAAGTGACGAAGATACGAAGTTTCTCGGATACCTCGGCGGACACCCTGTATATACTAGTATATACCAGTATTATGGAGATAGAAAATTGGATATGACTAGTTTAAGCAATATTCAAAACAGTATGAGTAATTCGGTTTTCGTTAGCCGGGTGCTCAATATCGGATCGGCATATTCATTTTCATTTTATAGTTGACGAATTGGTGGCTTTGAGCGGTGACACTGATTGAACGCACCGACTTGATTAGATAACGTGTCGAGAGACGTGTTGAGTGGTGTAAAATTCCGCCGTTCCTTTATGCCCCGGCAATTGTTGCTTTTATGAATGGGGCCAACCCCGTCCCGGATTAAACCGATCGAATTTTAGTGCTGCCGCCGACGTTTCTGTTTTCGGACGATGATGCTAGTTCGACGATTGCCGCGACGTAATTGGAAACTGCCGTTTCTTTCATTACTTTACCGAACGAGGTAACGTACGACGAGGAACAACCACTTTAAAACTTTCTTGACTACCAGAGACGACGTTTTGAATTTTGTTTTCCTGGTTCTACGTTTAATTTGGACGTAAACTACAAAGTTTACTGCTCTTTACCTCTTCCATTTGAAGGAAAAGTTTAGTTTTAACAATATTTATTAAACGGATAATTAATTAAAAGTGTTCTGTTCTTAGTTATTGTTTAATATGTTCGTAAATCAGATGACAGTGTCGGGGATGGATAATTAGAGGGAGTTGGAAAGGAAGGTTTTGGGGTGTCTAGTCTACTGTAGAGTTTCTCTAGTAATCGTGTGCGAAACGTTCTGGGTTTCGTTGCGGGACACGCGTAGTGGTAACGTCGTTTCGGGATGGTCGCAAAACGGGAAGAGTCGAATGTTGCCCGACGCCGTTACTATAGAAACGACACGTGTTGAGCAGGGTGTTACTTTGCGAATCTTGTCACGTTGAAAGATGAAAAAGGACCTCCGGGAGCCGACGAGGAAGATGGCGCCACCGCCGCGGCCAGCTTGGAGGTGACTGCGTTACAAACTAAGGTCCGAATCGAATAATCTGGTCGCACTTATCATTTTTGATGTTGATTGGGACCGGTCTAATCCTAACGAAAATTTATTCCGCACATACACGTCCTGTAGGGTTTCCGGGATTGCAAGATTATTTGAATAGGAAGAGGGGCGTCGACTCCGGTTTCGAGGATCTTAAATGTAATTAAGCAAGGCTAGATACACACAAGACTTACCTGAATCTATTTAGGCATCGACAGGTTCCTCCTTGCGTGCAATGAGCAACGTTTCGGGTTCGGGTTGTGGGTGCGGGGTTCCCCGATTTTAATCATGCATCATGCAATTTTATGCATCGCTGCCGCGTCACGGATTTACGCCAAAAATTTTGACGTCGTTATGTTTCGACCCATTTAACTAATCGAACATCTGTCTGTGCCGTTGGGGGCCGGATGAGGCTACGAAAACGGCATAGAAGGGCTTGACAAATGGAACTCTCGTGTACCCCGTGGAGGGTATTTAGTATTTCGGATGACCGTTTAAACGAAATACACGTGGGACTACGGCCATCAAAGACGCCGTCGAAAGGCTTAGACGCCTAAAACTTCGTACCCCGAATTGGAAGTCTGAAGGACTAGGGAAGAGAGGGAAATATACAAAGCGTAGGGTGGAAATAAAGATAGGATCTGTCACGTCGGCCGGTGGTTTTCTTTTGAGATTTCGTCCGGTAATTTCACTTTTACGGCAAATTGCTCTATAACAGGATAATTTATAACGTTTAAACGCCGCGCCCGGCGCACTAATAATTTATTCCATTCGGAGAGGCAAATATTAAGATGTTACTGATACCGGCTGGAGTGTCTAATCTTAATTACTTTACGTAGTTTAATTACCGACGCCAGAGCCGCGCCGTCTGTTATTATCTGGCCGGGGAAGATCGAACAATGGCAGGATTTCGGTCCTTGGTGGGGGAGGTTACGGTACCACTACCTACTTTACTTTACGTTGTTACTTCACTACTTGGCTACTTACTGTAGAGTCGTATGGTGCCGTCGGTTTCGCCGCGCGGATTCTTCGCGACGCATTTGTACGTCCCGTAGTCGCTCTGTTGAATGTTGTTGATGGTGAGTCTCATATGCGTCTTGTACGACACCGCGCCGACGATGTTTTCGGCGTGGTATTTCCTCGATTCGTGGATCATCTGACCGTCCTCTCTCGTCCAATAATTTAGGGAGCTCGGGTGCGCCTCCGTGTAACACTCGAGGCTGACGGGTCTTCCTAAGGGGGCCCCAACGAGCTGGTGCGGAATCCACAGCATGGGTGGAACTGCAATGGGTGACGGACGCTTTAGCGATCGATTAACTGCCGATCGCCCGAAATCGAACCCCGCCCGCAGAAACGGCTAAATGTGTTTTCATTATAGCATGCAAAGCAGGTTGCCAACTTCGCTATATACGGCGCGATATTTCACCTTCGCCCTCAGCCCGCCAGAGGGCTGAGCGACGCGGACGCGACTTTGAAAGAACCCACCCTGTTTACATGATCATTTACCCTTTGTAACCTCTTTAAATGCATTACATTCCGTCGACCCCGCTCTCGCCGCTTCTCCCGCGCGCCTCTTTTTCGTTCCCCCCACGACTTTACGTTCGTTTTATTTTACGGCCGATACAAAAACTATTTCTAACAACGATAACGTCGCCCCCCATTTCAACCTGCTCGATAACCGCGAAATTGGATGCCATTCGATTAGTCTTTTCAATGCGCATGCCTAACGGTCTTGTACGTCTGCGCTTTACATTGTTTCAAATAATCCGGTATTCATTGGAATTAGGTACACAGGTAGAGATGATTCAAACGTTGACGTTTAATAACGCGAAAGGAATTCTTAGCGGCACGGCTGGAGGAAGATATTGTTGTCGCCGGTCGAAACGGTCTTCTAAGCATAAATTAGTAGCCATTGTCCGAGCGGAACTATTATGTGATTCAGACTGTCACAGCTACAATGGACGACTGGGAGAGTGTCAAAATTATACACCCCCGACGTTGTACAATGGTCAGCTAATGTAGCCGGCGTTTGCGAGCGGCAAAACGCTTAATTGATTGCTTATACACGGTCGGAAGGGTGGGAATGCAATCGCCGCGGGGAAGGGCGGACCTCGAATCAGAGGTAGAGAGACTCTTTTCTTCCCAGATAGAAGGAGGGAAGCGAAAGAGCAAGAATGATGACTGGCATTTGTCTTGTCAACGTGTTTAGAAGTAAAATCGAGGAGGCGGCCTATCGGGCACCGGGGAACCGAATCAGAATGCCAGGACTGACTGCACGGTTATTCTTGTCACGGTGTATAACATTAGAGTCGATCTAAGAGTGTTTGTATTTATCTCGGCACGGCAGAGACGGATTTTTGCGTAAAAATTGTTTGCACGCTTCCAACCAAAGCCAATCTACCGTTCGGCCTTACTTCCACTTCCCGACGCCTTCCTCGAAGACATTTATTCGTGAATTACAGAAACCGTTATACGTTTCCTCCGGCTCCCCTCGGCTTTCGTATGCTGCATGCAAATAGAACGCTTTAATAACGCGTTACAATACATCCCCTAATGTGAACGTTATCGATTGAACCTAGCAATGCGGACGTTACCGTTTCCTTAGCTTTCCACGATTTCCTGCCCCCATCTTTTACGAAATCTTAAACGGTTGCAGATTCCATTTGTTTCCTCTCCTTCTTTCCATCCTTCTCTCGGCGCACCTTAATTTCCACCTTTCCGCGACGATACCGACCAATTAATACTTCTTAAAATTTGTTCGGATCGATTTCCAAAACCGTACGGTTCAGCAATAACAACCGCGGTATAACTAATCAAATATTTGCAATAATCTGCTATCTGCTGACCGTTCCTCCCATCTCGAGGCAAACAATGTACAGCGTACATGTAACTGCAACTCAACTCACGCATTAATCAACATATTCAATCGGGCAGCTGTATTAATTACCGACAATAACAGCAGCAGGTCCGTTCAAAAACCCGTAATCATTTTATGAGGTTATTAGCAATACTATGCCAATCGAAGCGTACCGAGTATCAATTTCGGACGCTAATAACGTTACGATCTGAAGGGGGCCCTTTTCCTCTATTTGTTACTATTTCGTTAATAACGCCCGTCGAAAATAACACGAAATTCCAACATTCCACAACTACACATGCTTATCGTATCCTCTTCAACCAGTACGTTCAATCAATCTATAATTGTAATCTATTATCATATTGATTAGAGAAAATTATATGTAATATTATCATGAAATCTACTACAATAGTCATACCAATTGCAAGGAATTTATAGGCACACATCACCCAACACTTCAATGCTCTTTTAAATCGATTTAGGGGTAGTCCAATCAGGTGCCGAGGTAAATTATTGTATATCTGATAAAAAAACACCGTTTGAAAAATTCTACCCGATGGGAAGGAGGTGTTAGCCTATCCGTGAAGCAAACATTAACATAATGTGCAGGCATAGAACCAAAAGACTGTATGAGTTATGAAGCTTTTAAGATACAAGAGAGATACAATACCAGAGAGTCGCATAGAAGCTTTTTGTGTGCCAGTCAAGACTATAACGATTGGAGTAAATCAATTTTGCCATAAGCTCGACCAATCAACTAGTTAGTGTGTTCCCTAAAGCTTAATCCATGATCAGTCGGAAATTTTTGACAGAGTTACCCAGGAACAGATGGAGTCACAAATGAAGCATCTTTCAACCGAAGCAACAGAAGAACCAAAAAAACGAAACAACTTCATACCGGCCAATCAGCCTTCTATCTTCAACGAAACCCTACACAAAAGAATAAGACAAGTAGCAGAAGAAAACACATAATAAGCAAAACAAACACATCCAATCACACGGACGCTATCTTTTTAGATATAGAAAGGGCTTTTGATAAAGTTTGACACCCTGGTCTAATACATAAAATGAGATTAGCAAAATTTCCAACAAAACTAATTAAAATAGTAAAGTCATACTTAAACAAAAGGAAATTTCAAGTTAAACTAAAAAACGCAATATTGGAAGAAACGGAAATAAACGCTTGTTTCCGTTTCGCTATCACAATTCGCAGACGACACAGCAATCTTTATTTCAGATAAAGACTCCAACAAACAACAGACCAAGTAATAAGTTTTATGGCAAAATGGAAAATAAAAGTCAACGAAGACAAGATAGAAGCAGTAATGTTCGTGCATAAACAAGATCGCAACATCACATAACATCACAACAGACAAACTGTAAAACTAAGAATATCCACTCGACCCCGATAAAATTGCAGAATCACATCGTGTTATAATATGTTATTAATAATGTCTAATATTGTATTGAAGTGGTATCTTAATTGCAAGAATTTGTATTATTCGATACTCAAAAATGGAATCTATACATGAAGTGAAAGTTATTACACTTTTAATGCAGACATTCAATAATAAGTGATATGTGGGAAAGAGAAAACACCATGCTGTTTAGACCACATGTAACAGAAATTGTGGATGTGGACAAGAGCTTCAGAAGTATTTATATTAAAAGACGGAATAAACACGGACCTTGATGGTACACTTGAACTGGAAGCGTTATGTTGGACAGAAAGCTGAGTAGATTAGACTCAAAAGTAGAGAAATGTGCTAGTTAGTGGTAGATGCTCCCAACGTGATCTGCGATCAAAGAGACTGTTTTATAAATACAAAAGCTGGATATGGATACAAGGTCGTCGCCAACCAGGGGGGGGGGGGGCACGACGAAAAAATTGTTGATATTTGATAAATTGTAAAATTGGGAAAAGACTTCACCAGCTTTTACGAGGTCTTCAAGGGACATGTCTAACATTTGACCTGGATGTAATTTAGATAAGGAAAATGACGGAGTGTTTTCTTCAGAAAAGCGAACTTCAAAAGAATTAATAATCGAGTCTAAGTATGGTATTATTAAAGAACTCCGCCAGAATTCTGAGGGGCTTGCTGCTGGGTGGTTGTTCTGATGTTGTTGTCTCAACAATACAAAAATGTATAATATCTTTGATGGTACCTTCCTTTGATGAAAGCACAAAGCTTTTTTATATTTTCTGCGTAGGATTGCTTGAACACCACCTTCTTTCCCGGACATCGTCGAACAACCGTCAAATCCTAAACCAACACATTTGTCCGGATGAAGATCTTCTTCTGCCGAAAACTCATCTATTGCTTTTGCAATACATTTCGCATCCAAAGCATCAAGTTTGACGAATCCGAGGAATACTTCTTGAACTTCCTTGGTTTCCAGATCAAAATATGGCATCCCATTCGATAGTTGTTCAGTACTCGAGTGTATATTTATTGCGTTTTAATTTTTTTTCGAATCTACCTCCAGGGGGGGGGGCAGTGGCCCCCCTCTGTCCCTCTCTGGCGACGCCCTTGTATGGATAACAAAGAAGGGCAAAATTTGGAAAAATCAAATAATGACTGGGATTATGCGGCTTCAATATCTATCTAGTTTTACAAGAAATATTTCTGTTTTTTGACCCGTATATGTTGCATCAACACTAGGTACTTTTGAGCGGTATTTGAAAAAAAACCTGGGTTTTTGCACGAATGCACGAATGCAGTCCTTTACGCGAACAGAAAGATTTATCAATACTGCTGCAGAAATTCTTCACTTTATAGATTTAGCAGCTGCTGTTTCTTCTCAGTACTTTGATAACAAAATGGAGCTGGAAAAACTTGAATTTCTCAGCTCAAGGCTTAATCCATCAGTTTCATCCTACAAATTTCTGAATAGATGTATTCGCATAGTCTTAATATCAGACGGTAAAAATCAAATATGTTGATCAGGGTGAACGGCCAGAAATAATTCAGAAACAATTTTTCTAGAAAATGCTTATATTTTGAAACAATACGATGTCATTTTTACACTCACCTTTGTTATTCCCAACAATTTTTATTTTCGACTAGTTTTTACATTTTTCAATCAATTCATTTTTTGACTTGGCTAACTTCTAGAACAAGTAAGTTTACCTTAAATTTATTTTAACTTCATATTATTTTAATTTGAATATACATTTCTTGTAGTTTGTTTAAAATTTTACTCTGAAGAAGGTTGGATTCCAACCGAAATATAAGCATTTTATAGAAAAATTGTTCCTGAATTATTTCTGACCGTTCACCCTGATCAACATATTTGATTTTTGCCGTCCACGGTATCGGTCGTAGATACTTCTTGCTTATGTTAATATCAGACGACCTTACGATTATAACCTTCTAACGGCCAAAATCTTCGAAGACAACCTTGGTTACTTTTTTCCATCCAACAACTTGTAAAACAACGAAATTCATAAAATTTTCATATTTTCGCATTTTTCTCGATGTTGACTCATCTGAGAGTAAAAGTGAAAGAGAGCAATGTTGTTAAGAATAAAATTTGCTATAACTTTTGGTCTAAAAGTGTTTTGGTAACATGTTCCCATTTCCGAGTGCTACCATTATAACGAAATTCATAAAATTTTCATATTTTCGCTTTTTTCTCGATATTTCCGATTCAAGCGAGATTTATCTGCCACCCTTAGATTCGCGGATAACATAGTCTTAATATCAGACGAGCTTACGATTATAACCTTCTAATGGCCAACATCTTCGAAGGCAACCTTGGTTACTTTTTCCATTCAACAATGTGTAAAACAACGAAATTCATAAAATTTTCATATTTTCGTATTTTTCTAGATATTGACTCATCTGAGAGTAAAACCGCAAGAGAGCAATGTTGTTAAGAATAAAATTTGTTACCATTCTTGTTCTAAAAGTGTTTTAGTAACATGCTCCCATTCCCGTGTGTTACCATTAAAAAGATGTAAAACAACGAAATTTATCAAATTTTCATATTTTCGCATTTTTTTTGATATTGACTCATCTGAGAGTAAAAGTGAAAGAGAGCAATGTTGTTAAGAATAAAATTTGCTACAATCTTTGTTCTAAAAGTGTTTTGGTAACATGTTCCCATTTCCGAGTGCTATCATTAATAACGAAATTCATAAAATTTTCATATTTTCGCTTTTTTCTCGATATTTCCGATTCAAGCGAGATCTATCTGCCATCCTTAGATTCGCGGATAACATAGTATTAATATCAGACGAGCTATTATAACCTTCTAACGGCCAACATCTTCGAAGACAACCTTGGTTACTTTCTCCATCCAACAACTTTTAAAACAACGAAATTCATAAAATTTTCATATTTTCGCATTTTTCTCGATATTGACTCATCTGAGAGTAAAAGTGAAAGAGAGCAATGTTGTTAAGAATAAAATTTGCTACAACTTTTGGTCTAAAAGTGTTTTGGTAACATGTTCCCATTTCCGAGTGCTACCATTAATAACGAAATTTATAAAATTTTTATATTTTTGCATTTTTCTCGATATTGACTCATCTGAGAGTAAAAGTGAAAGAGAGCAATGTTGTGAAGAATAAAATTTGCTACAATCTTTGTTCTAAAAGTGTTTTGGTAACATGTTCCCATTTCCGAGTGCTACCATTAATAACGAAATTCATAAAATTTTCATATTTTTGCATTTTTCTTGATATTTCCGATTCAAGCGAGATCTATCTGCCACTCTTAGATTCGCGGATAACATAGTCTTAATGAGCTTACGATTATAACCTTTTAACGGCCAACATCTTCGAAGACAACCTTGATTACTTTTTCCATCCAACAACTTGTAAAAAACGAAATTCATAAAATTTTCATATTTTCGCATTTTTCTCGATATTGACTCATCTGAGAGTAAAAGTGAAAGAGAGCAATGTTGTTAAGAATAAAATTTGCTACAACTTTTGGTCTAAAAGTGTTGTGGTAACATGTTACCATTTCCGAGTGCTACCATTAATAACGAAATTCATAAAATTTTCATATTTTCATATTTTTCTCGATATTGACTCATCTGAGAGTAAAAGTGAAAGAGAGCAATGTTGTTAAGAATAAAATTTGCTACAATCTTTGTTCTAAAAGTGTTTTGGTAACATGTTCTCATTTCCGAGTGATACCATTAATAACGAAATTCATAAAATTTTCATATTTTCGCATTTTTCTCGATATTTCCGATTCAAGCGAGATAAGCTCGACTCACACGCAATTCGCTATGTATTAGGATTCACAAAGTTTTGTATTCTCGTCACTTGATAGTGAAAATATACTCTCCATTACATACCAAGCCTAAGCATTGTGAAATATGTTGCTTAATATTGTATCACTGTAGTATTAATTGTAGCATCTTAGCAGCAAGCGACTACGGAGACTGTGATAATTTTACCCTAGGCTATGTTATCAATTGAAGTGCTTTGGCCGGAAGGGACTTCGGCTTAATTATGAGAAATTATCAATTCTCCGTTCCAAAGTAACCCGAGATGCGGAAATACATGTCTTGACTTAAAACAGAGAATGTATTATTCTTCTATAATGAAAAATGTACGTAAAATGTAAAAGGTAGCCTTTAATTAATGAATGAAAAATATTGAGTGTGCACTAAAAGGAAGTTCACGACCCTAAAATGTCCCCAAAACGGCTCTAAACGACGGTGCGACAATTGACAGGTGAAGAGAGAGTTGATTGACAGCCCCGTATCGAAAACTGTTCAAATCAATTCCGCGGATTTGTAAAAGGTAGAAACATAACCTAGGCTAATGTCTTTTATCTGTTCTGAAGTCGTCAATAATTGATGGGGACGAAAACATTGGCGAAATATCTCCATCCTGTACACAGTGTGTGATTAATTGATTCAAGTGGAGCTTGTTTCGGGCTACATAGCGCTGAAAACAAGTGCGAGCGTGCGAGACTGGGCTTAAATATACATGATAACCATATGACATCTTCACCATCCGGATTGACGTTCTGGTGTACTGCGGATCGATAGCATTTAGTATTTATAACCTTCACTACTAACTAATTAAGCTATGGCCAAACTAGATTGGAATATTAGCTTCAATTAAGATAAAGTCAATGAATTTTAGTATTGGTATTTACATTATCTTAAATTGAAAATGAAATATTTTGTCGTGCAGGTTTAATTGGAATAATTCGATATTAAAAGTTTAATTTAAAAACGTTTTTCCCGAGGCAAAGGCACGCTTTATTAAGAGGTTATGCACCTGCCGAGAAACCGAAATTTCAGCAATTTAATATCTCACAACCGCGTGGAAATAAAACAAAGATCGTTTCGATACCGCCGTTACCTTCTAGGATCCTTGCAGAAATGAATATTAAATTCTATGTATATTAAATCTCGGCCGCCGCCTCGAGAACAAGTGTTCCAATCGCCGTGTACACTTGTTCTCGCGAATCCCAGCGATTAAACCGCGATCGATATGACTTACAATCAACGCTGACTTTGATCCTTTTGCTGACGGTCGGCGGTACGCCATTTGTGGCAATGCATAAATAAGCTCCCATGTCGAGTCTCGAGATCTTGGTGAGTTCCAACGTTTCACCCTCCCATTCTGACACTGAAACAAAAGGAAAATAAAATATGGGCAAATTATTCAGTAAAAGGTTATTCAGAATCAGAACAATTAACAAACCTGATAGGGTTTTATTGATGATAATTTTTGTGTTGTCGTCTCGCTTCCACTTCACACTCGGTTGAGGAGATCCTGTTGCTTTGCAAGTCAATGTCTCGTTCGCTCCTTCCCTTACTATCACATCACTGCTACTCAGCGAGTCATCAATATTTGGTGGTACTAAAAAAATAATGAATATTTTTTTTAATTCATTCATTAAGTACAAGATAGGTTGTCAGTTAAAACTATGGACAAGGAAAGATAAAAAGTGAACGTCGAAGGTTTTGCAAAAAGACAACGGGTTTGATAACAGTCCCTTTTTACTCGAGTAAATAAAGTGCCAATTCGGTTAAAGGGGGTTGTTAATTAAAATTCATTGGGACCGTCTGTCGAATCAGGCTCCAAAAAGTTTCGACCGATTCGAATGATTTTTGTGGGATCGCCGGAACGGCGCCGCTCGTCAAAGAGAAGTATATTCAATTTAACATAGCAATTTGTCGAAACGGGCGCAAATACATTTATTTATATTAATTACAGTTAAAACAATTCATCAAGTCAAAACGGGGTAGTTGATATTTCGATCGGACATATTTTATTTGTCCACACAACCCAACCAAATATATGGCGACAATATTAATCTATTCGACAAATACTGTCAACACTATTGTTATTACCAGTGGGTAATAAATTTTTGAAATATCGTTTTGTATTTAACCTTTTCCAATTAAAATTCTTCTTTAATAGAACCAACATTCACTCTTCAAATCCTTCGATCCCCCGAATACAAGACAAACAACATTTTGTATTGAATTTTATTTCCACCAATTTTTATATCGAATGTTTTTTTTTTTGATACGTCACTCATAAATAATTTAAAAAACGAAGAATGTATCGATAAAGCAAACACAATTCAATTGATACAAAAAATCCAATTAACAAGTTGATGTATATATATTACTATTTTATTGCTATTCTCTACAAATGTCTGTTAAATAAACTTTTTTTTACGGTTCATTTATTGTGTCGATGTCCAAAAAGACAAATTTTAAATTAAAATATTGTTATAAGTTGCGACAGAATAAAGAGAGGTCGCTTGCGGCCGAGGCGCTACAATTTGAGCTACATAGAGATTATATGCTTATTACGACTGGAAAAAAATTTAATAAAAAATACTTCTAGATACAAATTTTGACATTAATGAATACAATTAGTCAAAATATATCATTGAAAACATGTTTAGATCAAGAGATAGTACCCGAGGTCATGTGCGGCCGAGACGCTGCAATTTGAGCTACATAAAGATTATAGGCTTGCAGCCGATTATTTCTTATTACGACTGGAAAAAGATTTAATAAAAAATACTTCTAGATACAAATTTTGACATTAATGAATACAATTAGTCAAAATATATTATTGAAAACATGTTTAGATCACGAGATAGTACCCGAGGTCATGTGCGGCCGAGACGCTGCAATTTGAGATACATAGAGATTATATGCTTGCAGCCGAGATTATTTCTAATTAACACTAGAAAAAAATTTAATAAAAAATACTTCTAGATACAAATTTTGACATTAATGAATACAATTAGTCAAAATATATCATTGAAAACATGTTTAGATCAAGAGATAATACCCGAGGTCATGTGCGGCCGAGACGCTGCAATTTGAGCTACATAGAGATTATAGGCTTGCAGTCGAGATTATTACTTATTACGACTGGAAAAAAATTTAATAAAAAATACTTCTAAATACAAATTTTGACATTAATGAATACAATTAGTCAAAATATATCATTGAAAACATGTTTAGATCAAGAGATAGTACCCGAGGTCATGTGCGGCCGAGACGCTGCAATTTGAACTACATAGAGATTATATGCTTGCAGCCGAAATTATTTCTTATTACAACTGGAAAAAAAATTAATAAAAAATACCTCTAAATACAAATTTTGACATTAATGAATACAATTAGTCAAAATATATCATTGAAAACATGTTTAGATCAACTTTTTGCGTCCACTAACAAAAGACGAAACCACTGTGCTCGTCCAAGGATTGAACTACGCAATCGCCCCGAAGAAGGTCCCAAATAAGGAAATCATCTGCGAAGTGGAAGCGGCTGCTGGAGGGATACCCGCACTAAAAGCCGAAGAGATACGAGAAGAAGTTGCGAGAGTACTGAAGTCAGCAAAACCACCGAAAACCAACTTGGCGGTTGGTGAAAAGAAGGCACTCCGGTGTATTAAAGAAAAGTCAAAAGTCGTCGTGTTACCAGCAGACAAGGGGAATACCACCGTTGTTATGGACCAGAAAGAATATAACGACAAAATGATGAACCTACTGAACCCAGCCACCTACAGGAAAATCAAGAAGGACCCCACAGACAGAATCGTAAGAAAAATGAAGGACCTGATAAAATCTACAGGAATTCCAGCAGAACAGCAGAAAGGATTGTTTGTGCAGGCGCCGGTACCACCAAGAATTTATGAACTACCGAAGATTCATAAATGAGATGAATCATCACTTCCTACATATCCCTGTTTATTCGGTACTTCCCCTAGTTCTAAATTTTGAATAGTCCTCGTTGCCACAATTTATCCTGTATCTGGTCATTCACGTTGTTATCATGGCTCGACGTAGTGCGCTTCGACCTGGTAAAACAAATACAGAAGATACTTTACGACAGTGGTTTGAAGAATGTGATAATGATACTAACGATGAAATTGCTATCAATGAAAATAGCGATGAAGAAGATTTTACTGAAGTGAACGAAGTATACAATTCAGAAAATAGTTCTGACGTTGATTCGACATCCAGCGACAACAATGAGCAACGATATAATTTTTATATGTAAGTTTATTGTATGTTTTCTAAGTACGGTAGTTATTTCTTATATGATGTTATAGTTCCAAAAATAATCTTGAAAAATGGTATTTTGATCCGCAAACACAAAATACAGGACGGTATTCACGGCAAAATATTATGCACCAAGAAGGGGGACCCATAAGATATGCCAATCGAAACGTAGATAGAATTTCCAGTTCCTTTCGGTTATTTTTTAAAGATAGTGTAGTAAACCACGTAGTTCAATAGACTAATGCCGAGGGTTGCCTAAAGCATGGAGATTCATGGAAAAAACTCGATGCCAAAGAATTTTTACGTTTTGTTGGATTGTTGGTATTAGCAGGAGTTTACAAATCTCATAATAAAGGAATTACAAATTTGTGGAATGAGGAGGATGGACGCCCTTTATTCAACAAGACGATGAGTAGAAACAGAGTCCAACGTTTTACCTGTGTAAGGAATGGCATCGACCATATATTTAGGGGCATTGTTACACATTAAAACTAACTTTAGCCTGTATTTATCCGGCTTGCTAGGACATAGTTATATACATCCTAAAATCAATTATCAAGAATGAACCGGATTTGTAAGAAGTTCGACACGCAGCAATAAGTAAATTGCTTAGCGGTCGTAGCTCTTGGTGATGTGGTATCTATTATCACTGATTTCTGGGTTAAACAGCTCGTTTGATGGCAAATGATTGTCCTTTTGGGCAGCTGAAAGAATTAATAACCCTAATAGAGCAGGTTTTTTTGTGCCTCTTTTCTTGAATTTTCAAATTTGTGTTACAAACAATTTTACTTTTGATGTCGTCAGTTAAAAAAAAGTCTGAAAACTTCTATCGGTATTATTTTGTTTTTTGCAATATAAGTGTATCCTGGTGTTATATGAATAATATTTCTGGCTATCGATGATCTATTTCTAGCAAGAGTTAGCTGGTTTGTACAACGATGTCCAGTTTGCCCTCTGAGACTAATTTTATCACAAACCACTAGGTGTGGATGAGAAACAACAGGATTAACGTTATCAGTCTTTTTCTTTTTCCTAACTGGTGGTAGAGGTTCTTCTTCATCCATACTTGAAACGCCTAACAGGTCTAAGTCTGCATCGCGGTCGTACTGTGGGTCTGCATCAGTGTCATCACTGGAAGCTTTATAACGCCATCCAGAATTGTTGTCAGATTTATCACTTTCACTCTGTAGTAAGTATTTTTCAATTTTACATTCAGCAGACTTCCGACTCATTTTTGGAACTTATTTACATTTACTTATATACATTTACCACTAAAACTACACATGAGAACAAAATATTAACACTTTTCAATCAATAATAATCCATTACAAACAAAACGGGTATGTAAAAAAATCCAAGCGTTAAAGCTAAACTATCGTAAAATTTACGAGCGATCGAAAGCGGAGCGCAAATGACAAACTGCAAAGAAGTGCGCCAAACACTAACCGATGAAGCAGCGCCAGTAACGCACGGAACTCGACGGGCGAGTCAATCGTCGCAGGGTAATGGGGGAAAACTAAACAAAAAAAAAACACTCGTAATTTTTACGATAGTTTAGCTTTTTAGGGTTAAGAATAAAATTTGGTACAACTTTTGTTCTAAAGGTCTTTTGGTAACATGTTCCTATTAACAACTTGTAAAACCACGAAATTTATCAAATTTTCATATTTTCACATATTTCTCTATATTGACTCATCTGTGAGCAATGTTGTTAAGAATAAGATTTGCTACAATCTTTGTTCTAAAAGTGTTTTGGTAATATGCCCCACTCCCGAGTCTTACCATTAATAATTTGTAAAACAACAAAATTTATCAATTTTTCAGATTTTGGTTACTTTTTCCATCCAAAAACTTTGAAAACAACGAAATTCATAAAATTGTCATATTTTCGCATTTTTCTCGATGTTGACTCATCTGAGAGTAAAAGTGAAAGGGAGCAATGTTGTTAAGAATAAAATTTGCTACCACTTTTACTCTAAAAGTGTTTTGGTAACATGCTCCCATTCCCGTGTGTTACCATTACCAACTTGTAAAACAACGAAATTTATCAAATTTTCATATTTTCATATTTTCACATATTTCTCTATATTGACTCATCTGTGAGCAATGTTGTTAAGAATAAGATTTGCTACAATCTTTGTTCTAAAAGTGTTTTGGTAATATGCCCCACTCCCGAGTCTTACCATTAATAATTTGTAAAACAACAAAATTTATCAATTTTTCAGATTTTCGTATTTTTCTGGATATTGACTCATCTGAGAGCAAAAGTGAAGCAGAACAATGTTGTTAAAAATAAGATTTGCTACAACTACAAATGCTTCGATACTAGTTTCGAGGTATTACCTCATCTTCAGTCGAAAACTACAACATTATTTAATTAGAAAAAACAAAATATGTTAAAACAAAAAACTTACAGTCAAAATTAATGATGTTCACAAGTGAGAAAACGAATACCAAAAAATATCTTAAATTTAAACATGTTGAAAACGGAGAAAACTTTTAATACGCAGTAAAAATATTTGAAGGTCAAAAAGGGTAAACATAGTTGAAGACCAAAAAAATATTTAAGAGGTTAAATCTAAAATAAAGGTAGTTAACAATAAAAAATAAAAATATATAAAAACTTACAAAAAAGCGAAGATGACGGAATTAGCATAGGCTGCGAGACTTTCAACGCAAAAAGGCCGAAAAACGTTAATAAAATTAAAAAAATACGTTAGAAGTCCCGCAGCGATGCATTAGAGGATCGAGAAGAGAAGAGACTAAAACGACTAACGGATAAAGAACTGCAGGTCGGGAAACGTGTTTGCGAGGGAAGGGGAAAACAATCAGCATTTAAGTTTAAAGTCTTTCAAATATGTAGTTAATTGCGTTAATTGAAGTTGATCATTTAAGAGTACAAATTCATCATTGTTTTTATGTTTAACGATTTCGAGAATCTCAAGAAAATCAAGTTTATGACTTTTATTACATTTATGTAATAATCTTATATCTTTGTAATTAATATTGTGACCTGTTTCAATGTGGTGTTTATAGATGTTAGAATTAGCTTTATTTTTATGCTCGCGAACACGTGTCCCAAGCGCACGTCCTGTCTGACCAACATATATGGCATCGCAATTGGAACATCTAATTTTTTGGTCTTCAACCACGTTTACCCTTTTTGACCTTCAAATATTTTTACTGCGTATTAAACGTTTTCTCCGTTTTCAACATGTTTAAATTTAAGATATCAGGGCCCGCTCTAGGGGCGGACCATCCGGACATTTGTCCGGGGCGGCAGCTCTAAAGGGCGGCATTTTGACTCAGAATGTGATAAAATTTTGATAATCTAATTTAATCGACATTTTTGCTTGTCGATTTTCTACCAATGGAGAGCATGTTGTAAGAGACTGGCTAGTATACTCTATTTCAAAAAACTATATTTATTGCTTTTGCTGTAAAATTTTCGGCTGTGTGATCAGTTCTCTTTCAAAAGACGGCTTTAAAAGTTGGAAGCATATCGTTGAAACGTTAAAAGAACACGAAGTTTCAAAAAATCATATTGAAGCTCACAAATCATGGCTGGAACTGAGTCAAAGACTAAAGTGTTGTAAAACTATAGATGCAACTGCTCAAAGAATTATTAATGCTGATACAAACCATTGGTATGAAGTGCTTCTAAGAATCGTAGGAATCATTAAAATGCTTGGTAAAAGTTGTCTGGCTTTTCAAGGTACAAGAGATAAACTATTTAAGCATAATAATGGTAACTTCCTAAAAATAGTGGAACTACTGTCTGAATGGTGCTGAAAGAAGAAGAGACGGAAGCCCACTATCTCTGTAAAAATATACAAAACGAGATAATAGACTTGTTGCATCAAAATGTGAAGTCTCATATTATTAATGAAATAAAAAAGGCCAAATTCTATTCTATAATTTTAGATTGCACTCCTGACGTAAGTAAGGTAGAGCAAATGACTCTTATATTCCAATATGTTACAGTCAATAAATCTGATTTCAACGACGCTGAAATAAAAGTTAATGAAAGTTTTTTGGGTTTCCTTCCAATTGAAAGGTCCACAGGAAAACAAATGACTGAAATCATAATTAAAGAACTTTCTAATATGGGTTTAAACTTGCAAGATATTAGAGGACAGGGATATGATAATGGATCTAATATGAAAGGCGATAAAGCTGGAGTGCAATCTAGAATTAAGAATTTAAATTCACGAGCGTTTTACGTTCCGTGTAGCAGTCATTCTCTGAATCTAGTGGTTAATGATATGGCAAAAGCTTCTTCGGTAGCCGCTAATTTCTTCAATATAATCCAGAAACTATATTTTTTTTTTTCATCATCTACGTTTCGGTGGGCAATACTTTTGAAACATATTAAAGGATTAACTTTGAAACCATTGAGTGCCACTAGATGGGAGAGTAGGATAGAGGCCTTAAAGACTTTACAATTTCAAATAGGAGAAGAATACGACGCAACAAAAACTTGGTACAAAATCTTAAACTGCATTAATCCTATAAGCAAACTAATGCAAACAAAAGATTTTGATCTAGCATCTGCACTTAACCTCTTACAAAATTGCAAAAAAATCTATAAGGATCTTCGATCGGACAAGTCTTTCAATGAAAGTATAATTGATGCAAGAGAACTGGCTGCCGAAATTGACATTGAAGCTAATTTTGAATCAACAATTCCACGACACCGCATACAAAGAAAAAAAAATATTTTCTCATACGAATCTCGAGATGAACCGATTGAAGATCCCAAAGAAAAATATCAGTACAGTGTCAGCCAAAAAGTTTGTATCAATAAATTAGCTATATATTTTTGATAGCATAGCTTTATATGTTTGATTATTTGATGCAGACTTTTTGGAAGGCATTATATGTTTAAAGGGCGGTAGTTTGTCTTTTTGTCCGGGGTAACGTAAACGCTAGGGAGGGCGCTGAAGATATTTTTTGGTATTGTTTTTCTCACTTGTGAATATAATTAATTTTGACTGTAAGTTTTTTGTTTTAACATATTTTGTTTTTTCTAATTAAATAATGTTGTAGTTTTCGACTGAAGGTGAGGTAATACCTCGAAACTAGTATCGAAGCATATTAATAAAAAGCAAGTAAGAGGTTATTTTTGATTTTTCATTAATTAAAAGTGTTTTGGTAACATGTTCCCATTTCCGAGTGCTACCATTAATAAAGAAATTCATAAAATTTTCATATTTTCGCACTTTTCTCTATATTGACTCATCTGAGAGTAAAAGTGAAAGAGAGCAATGCTGTTAAGAATAAAATTTGCTACAATCCTTGCTCTTAATTTGTTTTGGTAACATGTTCCCATTTCCGACTGCTACCATTAATAAAGAAATTCATAAAATTTTCATATTTTCGCACTTTTCTCAATATTGACTCATCTGAGAGCAAAAATGAAAGAGAGCAATGTTGTTAAGAATAAAATTTGCTACAAATTTTGTTCTAAAAGTGTTTTGGTAGCATGTTCCCATTCCCGAGTACTACCATTAATAACTTGTAAAACGACGAAATTCATAAAATTTTCATATTTTCGCATTTTTCTCGATATTGACTCATTCAAGAGCAAAAGTGAAAGAGAGCAATGTTGTTAAGAATAAAATTTGCTACAACCTTTATTCTAAAAGTGTTTTGATAACATGCTCCCATTCCCGAGTGCTACCATTAACAACTTGTAAAACAACGAAATTTATCAAATTTTCATATTTTCGCATTTTTCTCAATGTTGACTCATCTGAGGGCAAAAGTGAAACAGAGCAATGTTGTCAAGAATAAAATTTGCTACAACTTTTGTTCTAAAAGTGTTTTGGTAACATGCTTCCACTCCCGAGTGCTACCACTAACAACTTATAAAGCAATGAAATTTATCAAATTTTCATATTTTCGCATATTTCTCGATATTGACTCATCTGAGAGCAATGTTGTTAAGAATAAGATTTGCTATAATCTTTGTTCTAAAAGTGTTTTGGTAACATGCTCCCACTCCCGAGTGCTACCATTACCAACTTGTAAAACAACGAAATTTCTCAAATTTTCATATTTTCGCATTTTTCTCAATATTGACTCATCTGAGAGTAAAAATGAAAGAGAGCAATGTTGTTAAGAATAAAATTTGCTACAAATTTTGTTCTAAAAGTGTTTTGGTAGCATGTTCCCATTCCCGAGTGCTACCATTAATAAAGAAATTCATAAAATTTTCATATTTTCGCATTTTTCTCGATATTTCCGATTCAAGCGAGATCTACCTACCACCCTTAGATTCGCGGATAACATAGTTTTAATATCAGACCAGCTTACGCTTATAACATTCTAACGGCCAACATCTTCGAATACAACCTTGGTTACTTTTTCCATCCAAAAACTTTGAAAACAACGAAATTCATAAAATTGTCATATTTTCGCATTTTTCTCGATGTTGACTCATCTGAGAGTAAAAGTGAAAGAGAGCAATGTTGTTAAGAATAAAATTTGCTACAATCTTTGCTCTTAATGTGTTTTGGTAACATGTTCCCATTTTCGAGTGCTACCATTAATAAAGAAATTCATAAAATTTTCATATTTTCGTACTTTTCTCAATATTGACTCATCTGAGAGCAAAAATGAAAGAGAGCAATGTTGTTAAGAATAAAATTTGCTACAAATTTTGTTCTAAAAGTCTTTTGGTAGCATGTTCCCATTCCCGAGTGCTACCATTACCAACTTGTAAAACAACGAAATTTCTCAAATTTTCATATTTTTTCATTTTTCTCTATATTGACTCATCTGAGAGTAAAAGTGAAAGAGAGCAATGTTGTTAAGAATAAAATTTGCTACAATCTTTGCTCTTAATGTGTTTTGGTAACATGTTCCCATTTCCGAGTGCTACCATTAATAAAGAAATTCTTAAAATTTTCATACTTTCGCACTTTTCTCAATATTGACTCATCTGAGAACAAAAATGAAAGAGAGTATAATTGCTAAGAATTAAATTTGCTACAAATTTTGTTCTAAAAGTGTTTTGGTAGCATGTTCCCATTCCCGGGTACTACCATTAAGAATTAGAATTAGAAAATGTTTTTGTAAGGTAGTTGGTTAAAAAGTATTGTTTATGTAAGAGATGAGGTACGATTTAAGCGTTGGACGAGATAAGAAACGGCAGTCGAAAGTTCGAAACGGGGATGGCACAATCCGAGCCATATTGTCAAAAGTATAGCAATTAATTACAAGCGGGGGCGGTGCGGTGGCTTGATCTTTTTGTGCCTCCCCCGCGGTCGAACAATAAGTTACCAGGTCGCAGTTGTTAATTAAGAAATTACCGTTTGAAACTTAACTCGGCGCGGGTATAATTGCTTCGTCGAAATCTCGTATTATTGAAACGTTAATTGCCGGTCGAAGCCAATCGTGCCGTTAATAACTTATCCGGATCATTTTTTCGACATCGACCCGGACGTATACATAAACATGATGAGTTCTACGTCTTCTACGAGCTCGAATGATTGATGACAGCGGATAGAACCAACGGCTAGAACGTCTGGTTTGGCGAGTACGGACATTGGCATACAGGCGTTCGAGGATCTGGGCCAAGCACAGATTAAAGCATTATTACATTAGGGGAATCCCGGAGTAGATGGCGCCCGGCTACGCCATCAAATTGCACTTTTCCCCTCTCGCTTCTTTAAAATTTATTGAAAACCCGGGACCCCAGCGAAGTTAGCGCGATGCGCCGTTTTATTATCCCGAAATATT